GGTTGGTTGATGATGCATGGAGGGGATTGTAACCATGGCAATGAAATGATGTATGATAGGATGAATGTAAGAACAATGTTCTTCCATGTAAACTATCACATAATTCACAATAAAACATTTTTTAAAATTGGATGGATATGCATTATTATGAAAAACGAGGGAAAAAATTTGAATCGGTGATTTAATTCTACTTGAATTAACAATCAATGCCTACATAAGCAGCAGTCAAGTAATCCAGTGACAAATTGCATTGAGGATATCTGCAGCAAAAGACTTATTTAAAGAAATGATGTCTCCGGTGACTAAACTGTGCCTGATCTATGCCATGGTTTTTTTCAGTTCCCTTATATGCATGCAAAAGATTAACGTTGTAGAAGTAAGACAGCAGAGTAGTTGAGTTGGTACAATCAAACTGTGGCACTGGTGTAGACATTGAATATCAACTTGCTAAAAAGAATGAACAAGTCATTCTTAGAAAAAAATAAAACCAGAAAACTCCTTAGACATGAAGATGGTGAAATATTAACTCACTGACTTTGGACACATCTTTAGGGAAGAGCATCATTAGAAAAGGACATCATGTTTAGTAAAGGCAAAAATGAGGGAAAACTCAATAAGACGGGTTGAGACACTAGCCACCACAATGGGTTCAATCATACCAATGATCATGACTATGGCACAGTAACAGATATTTCATTCTGTGGTCTGTAAAGTCAAATGAAGAAGATGTGACACCGACTAACAAGAATAATGCTTGAATATTTTGTTGTTGTCAAGTGCCGCCAAGAGGGTTCCGGATCATAGCAACTCTGCATAGGATTTCTAAGAGCAGCTGGTGGGTTTGAACTACTGACCTTGTATTTAGTAGTCTAGTGCTCTCCTACAGTGCCACACCAGGACTCAATAAATAGCTAATCTCGAAAATGCTTTGGTTAAATATAGAGATCACGTGTTTCCCTTGTCTAAAAGATCAGACTCCGGTGTGGTTGCTTATCCAGTGGTTGAAAACAAATACTAGAAACCTTTTATTCAGTTTTATCATTTTGTAAGAAGAATAAAAGCAATGCTCATTATTCTGTCATGGATGGTATTGTAAGCTCTCTGTGTCATTCCCTTTTGTTCTCTCAGTACCTGTTCGATGAGTTAACTAATAACAGTCAACACACTTCCCATTTGTACCTCTTCAGGTGGTACTTGCGTTATCTATTCATAACAAAACAATGGCTATAGAAATTAAAAATCAAAATGAAAGTTTTTTTAAGTGAGATAAATAATCCTAGCGTTAAAAACACTGTGAGAGCCAGAGCACGGAATTAGTTTAACATTATTCAGATGGTATAGAATGAATGTAGAATTGTTGAGTTGTATATTCTCTTAGTATGCATTAGTTAAGCAGAAAGCACATTACCCTACGCAGGTCACATATTATTACGGTAAATTTCTTTAAGATGCCAAGAAATTGCTTTATATTGCATTAAAATAAAAAGAATTGACCCATTCCTTTGTGTGTTTTAGAAAAAGATCTAACTAAATAGCTCAGTGATTAATACCTATACATTTCATATATTTTGACTGAAATTAACATTTCTCCTATTTAGCTAGCAAGCAAATTCTTTATACTCATACTTCTTCCAAGAAAGAGCAAGAAGCATATGCTAAGAAGAAGTCTGCCATAGGAAGTCAGAAATCATTTAAGGGTAGACCTGGAAGTACAATTATCGACATGGGTCAGCCGATTACGGATGAGGACGTTATCTCTGTGCCCCCTATAGAAAAAAATCCAAGCACACCACAACAGGTATGTTTACATTTCAAAGAAGTATGTAATTATGTTGCTCCTAAAATGTAGCATTAGGGAAACTAATCCTCTTAGCAAAAATTATCATTTTTTTTTTGTAATTTGATGTAAAACCATAGTTGAAAATGTAACTTCACAATTGAAAACTAAGATATTATTGAACCAATTTTCTGTTTCAAGAGCTTTATATAAAGTTTAAATAAAAAGGAAATTTTTATTTATACACTGGCCCTATAATGTAAATGTCATTGGCTTATTTTGTATATAAGTTATATTAGGTACATCACATTGGAAAGTCATACTTTATTAAATAAAACCTGATGCATATGAAACTTTAGTTAAAGACTAAAAGGCCAAAAAAAAAAAAAAAAGCAATGTACATATTTGAAACATAGGTGAAACTGTGGTCTATCCATTGAAAAGCAAAAATACCAGAAGAGAAAAGAAAACCCATCGCCATGGAGTTGACTGAGGCTCAGAATGGCCCTAGAGGTCAGCTCAGGGAAGAACTGTCCCATGGAGTTCTCACCTAGATCTTTATGTGGCCCACTCTCACCCTTCTTCCACAGAGCAGATGGTTGAAAACCACTGACTTTCCATTTAGCAGCCAAACACTTAGCCCTTATGCTATCAGGACTTCTAGAAAAGTAAATAGTTGACAGAAACAAATCCTGAGGTAACAGTAATTACGAAAAAGAGAACTTGATTAATCAATTTAAAAGCAAAACTTTCAAGGTAGAGAGTCTAAAAGTGCTACTTTAAAAGAAAATGGTACGGAAAGTTTGCATATAAGAAAATAGGAAGTCGTAGATGACAAATCGCTGCCTAGTGACAGATGTGAAATGATCTTAATATCTCAATACATAGAATACATAAGGAATGTTATGTAAAAGTAGAAGGAAGATTAAAACCAGTACATGTGACCATCACTAATAGACAGGTGTGGACTCTTGGTGTGGTGCTGTAGGATTAGCACTAGATTATAAACCACAAGGTTCCCAGTCCAAACCCACCATCCAGTCCTTGGAAACTCTATACAGGGTCACTATGACTCAGAACTGAGTCAATGGCACTTCACAACAACAAAACATGCAGGTAACTGAGTACCTAGTGACAATGAATAAGAAGCAAAAGCTATTAGAATGACAGAGAAAACAGATACTAACAATGCTAGTAGTTAATGAATTTAGCATGGTCCTCTCAGACACTGACAGAGTAAGCCAAAAAACAAACAAAAAGTAGAATTACGAGGACTTGAAAAATATAAGTATTAGCTTAATTCTTTAGATACCTGTGTACTTCAGATATGTTATTAGTAAGGACCAGTGCCTGGAGAAAGACATCTTATTTTGTAAAGTAGAGGGTCAGCAAAAGGGACAAAAATCCCCTCAATGATATGGATTAACATAGTGGCAGCAACAATTGTGAGGAGGACTCAAGACTGGGCAGTGTTTTGTTCTGTTGCGCAAAAGGTCATTGTGAGTCGGAATTGACTCTCCAGCACTAACAACAACAAATGTTATGTAAAAATAATGCAATTATAAAAATTAATAATTAGTAACTTAAAATTCCATAAATTGGGAAAATAAATAGTATATACTTAATTATCTTTTAGTTAAAAAGAACAACAAAAAGGCATTATAAAAAGTTTAAGATTCCATAACAAAAAAGATATATACAAATAAAAATTTGTAAAAATAAGAGAGATCCAAAGCAGCATTTAGTGATATATTTAATTTTAAATTAACTCATGAGGAAGCATAAATGATTTAAAACAATTGAGTTGAGGTATTTAAACAAGGAGATGGAGAAGACAACAATGTAACTCAAAAAAAAAAAAAAGAAGGAAAATTTTTAATAAAAATAAAGACAGCATGAACTCCTCCAGGAATTACCCCTTCCTAAGAGATATCAGTTATCTTTCATATTAACTTTTAAGTTCAAAGTAAACCCAATGAATATTTCTATTTTTCAGAAATGTTCTGAACCTACTCTAAATTTCACAGCAATGGATAAAGATGCACAAATAATATTGAAAAAGAAGATCAAAAGCAAATGACCTACCCCTCCCAAGTATTAAGATAGATTACAAATTGATAGTAATAAAATTACTGTTAAGTTAGTGCAAGAATAGACAAATGGATCAGTGGAATAGAATAGTGGGCATAGAG